CAAGCGCCGTAATCATGCAGGCAAAGAATAAAATTTTACTTAAAGGCTCGTAGTGATGGCCTGCCTTAGCACAACACAATCAGTGCACAGTGTTTTCGTGGGTGCCTTTGTCACACCCAAATTGACTGTAGCCACTGAAAGGCAGACGAAAGGTGTGAGTGGGTACCAAACGATTCGCTTCTTGATTGGCTAAACAGATTTACTCATCGGAATCCCTTACGCTAGCAGTCATCGCAGTCAAAATGGAGCACTTAGGAGGCGCCACCCGAAATTCACAAGACATCGCAACGTGACAACATAATGGTCACATACATTCAAAAGCTAGCACACTTTTTCCTCGAGCATTCCTATTTACACATATAATTTTGACAGCGATAAAACTGGCCTTTTGATATACTGCTAACCTGCAGCTATTTCACAAGTAACGGAGGAAAGTGATTTGTAGTAAAATGTAGTGTATTTAGTCACTGAGCTCGAAAATTCGAAAACAGGTGAAGCATTAATGGTTGCATGGAAGGTTTTTAAATCAAATGTAGAACCACGCCCATCTGTTACAGCAACTTGTAGTGAACAGGAACTATCTTCTTCCCCTGTTCATGTCAAGGTGCGGCAAAGCTTTTTTATTCCCCTTATACTTGCAGAGCAGCATAATATGTTGGTTTTCCTTGCGAAATGTTTTTATACATATATGTGAGTGCTCGTTTGGATAAGCAGCATTGAAGGCCCTATTCAGTGGCTATAAATTTTAATTTAACAATTGTCTACAGTAAGATGTTGCATAGCGATGTGCAGCCAAATGTGTACTAACTGTTCTAAAACCAGGTCAAAAAGGGCTGAACTTTCTACTCTACTCCATCCTTAGAATACTTGAAGAAAAAATCGAGACACGCACCCAGTGAGACAGACGCCGGCCCTTCACTCGAATATTCAGTCATTCAAATCACCAGCTGCATGGCATCGTAGAGGATGCGATCCAATAAACTGAAAAGACGGTCTTCTTACAGTGAAAGGTTTTGATCAAGAGGCGAAGGTTCGGATTTGTAGACAGACCTCAAAAATGCTGAGGCAAACAGCTGCGTCTGTTGAGGAAGCACCTGGGTGATTTGTGACTAACATTTTGATTGCAGCGCTGCCTCTTGGTTGGTCTCTCTGTAATCTGTGGCAATCAGCAGCATAAATTGGGATTATTTTGAGTGATGCGGTTAAGCGATCGAGTTCACATATACCGCAAAGTCCACTTACAAGTACCAAGTTCCGAGACCATTTTATCTGAGGTGTCATTTCATGTCTGACATTCGCTTAGACAGCGTCTTTCTTCTCCAGGTCGTTGGACACACACATGCATGATATCAAGTCCGATCTCTCCACTTCATCCTGCTTCGTGTCCCCTCTCCGACCAGCTTATCTCACATTCAGCGCTGAACGCAAAGACGAAGAGGAATGGAATGGTGACCAGGAGTTCCAATGTTTACGTCATGCCATGCACGAGGTTCCTGAATTCAGGACCACCGTAATTTACGCAGTATCCTTGCATGAAAGCATGATATTCGGGTAGATGTCTATACTGTCTGTGCAGACAATACACATTCCAATAGGACATATTTTACTCTGACAGGACTACCAAAACCTCTCACTGGAGATGCGCAAACGCAAGACTGGCATCTAAGGCTAAGATGAATCTTTCTCGAGCACAAGGCCACAGTCCATTTAACAACCTGCGCTTCATCGTTCAAGATGCCCAAACCTGTGAAATGAGGCCAGCTTTTAGTAATTTCTTACCAAACGCGGATGCAGCAATCAGCAATCTACATGTTGAGGGTCGCAAATTAAATCCCTTTTCCTCATTCGTCCCAGCGAAACACGAAGCT